AAAAATGGCCCAAAATTCACCCAAAATCAGCCCAAAAATGGCCCAAAATCAGCCCAAAAATGGCCCAAAAATGGCCCAAAATCAGCCTAAAAATGGCCCAAAATTCACCCAAAATCAGCCCAAAAATGGCTCAAAAATGGTCTCAAATTCACACAAAAATGGCCCAAAATTCACCTAAAAATGGCCCAAAATCAGCCCAAAAATTCAGACAAAATTCACACAAAAATGGCCCCAAATTCTCACAGAAATGGCCCAAAATCAGCCCAAAAATGGCCCAAAATCAGCCCAAAATTCACCCAAAATCAGCCCAAAATCAGCCCAAAATCCACCTAAAAATTGCCCAAAAACGGCCCAAAATGCACCTAAAAATGGCCCAAAATCAGCCCAAAAATGGCCCCAAATTCACTCAAAATTCACCCAAAATCAGCCCAAAAATGGCCCAAAATTGACACAAAAATGGCCCAAAAATGGCCCAAAAATGGCCCGAAATTCACCCAAAAATGGGTCCAAATTCACACAAAAATGGGCAAAAAATCAGCCCAAAAATAGATCAAAAATGGCCCAAAATTCACACAAAAATGGCCCAAAATCAGCCCAAAAATAACACAAAATTCACCCAAAATCAGCCCAAAAATGGCCTATAATCAGCCCAAAATTCACACAAAATTCACACAAAAATGGCCCCAAATCAGCCCAAAAATCAACCAAAAATCAACCAAAATCAGCCCAAAATTAACCCAAAATTCACACAAAAATGGCCCAAAATCAGCCCAAAAATGACCCAAAAATCAACCAAAAAATCACAAAAAATTCACCCAAAAATGGCCCAAAATTCACCCAAAAATGGCCCAAATTTCACACAAAAATGGGCAAAAAATGGGCCAAAATTCACCCAAAAAAATGCCCAAAATTCACCGAGAAATAACCCCAAAATATTCCAGAAATGGCACAAAATTATCTCAAAAATATCATAAAAATGGGCCCCAAAAATTCGCAAAAAATCCCCCAAAAATTTCCCATAAAAACCCAAAAAATTCCCCAAAAGTTCCCAGAAAACTCCCAAAAAGTTCCCCCAAAATTCCCCAAAAATTCCCCAAAAAATCCTAAAAAATTCCCCAAAAAAATCCAAAAAATTCCCCAAAAAATCCCCAAAAAATCCCCAAAAATTCCCCAAAAATCTCAAAAAAATTCCCAAAAAATCCCAAAAAATCCCCAAAAAATCCCAAAAAATCCCCCCAAAAAAATCCCCAAAAAATCCCAAAAAAATCCCCAAAAAATCCCAAAAAAATCCCAAAAAAATCACTCAAAAAATCTTCAAAAAATCCCAAAAATTCCCCAAAAAAATCCCAAAAAATCCCAAAAATTCCCAAAAAAAATCCCCAAAAAATCCCCAAAAATCCCAAAAAATCCCTCAAAAAATCCAAAAAAAAATCCGCAAAAAATCCCAAAAAATCCCCAAAAAATCCCCCAAAAATCCCAAAAAAATCCCCCAAAAATCCCCAAACATTCCCCAAAAAATCCCAAAAATTCCCCAAAAAAATCCCAAAAAATCCCAAAAAATCCCTCAAAAAATCTTCAAAAAATCCCCAAAAAATCCC